TTACTGGCGCACTTGTTGTTGACCCACTTATGATCAATGGGTGTATGTTTGTACATACATTTCTTTAGATAAATCCACACGCCTTCTGAATAGCGCGTCCTTTGTGTCAGAGTTTATAAAGAAAGAGGTACATTGCACGACTGAAAGTGACAGCCAAATGGCAATTCTTTACAAGGTTAGACCAGGTAAGGGTTATTTTACTGCACGTGACTGGCCTCTCATTGCTTTGACACATCATTAATAGAAGGGGTACAGCGTGCGCATGTCCCTACCTACACGTATCCCCCACCCCTAAAGCAAAATTAAATAAATAAAAAGAGAGACACCGAGAGCGAACGAGAGAGAGACGTAGAAAAAGAAATCAAGCGAAACGAGACAAAATCAAACGTTTTTCCTCCCAAGACGTACACAGTAAAATTTTCAGGATTATATATGTATCCTCGTTTCCTTGTCTATTGTTCCATGCTTCCAAATCGAAGCCACCCATCCAGAGCAAAACCCTAGATTCGCCAAAAAAATCCTAGACCCCCATATAAGTTTCATATACTGCAATAATAATTATTGGAGGTGCAATCCAGGTTTTGGAAGAAGAGTGATCGTACTGTATGGCTCGCTATATTATCACTGAGATTACAAGCGCACCGTCCCATTGTTTGAAATTCCATCTCTATATTGATAATCATATCGGGAAAATTTCTGAATGACTGAATTCTTTGTTCATAATGAAATCTGTATCGATAACAACAACTTACCTAAATTAGAGTAGGCCTACATGTATAACAAGACTGACCGTTGAAGATAAGCTATTCACATAAAACTGATAAAATATACCCTCTTTATTAGGACCCGCTTTACACTGGACGGCAGCCTTTCCGCGTCCTTTGTGCTACCGTGAAACTGGCATCGCCGTGGTCGTAGAAAGCAAGCGTCGCTTTGGTTACAGAATGAATACTCAATGAGCGACCAGTTGTCGGCACGCAAAGTATTATTTTTTTAAACTCTCAAACGGGGGTGTTCTATGGGTCGCAGAAAGGACGCCGTCCAGTGTAAAGGGGGCTTAACAGTCGATAGACCTATCATTTTGGATCATTACATAGATGCTTGTATCATAACATAACGCATATAGACTTTAATAGCAGTTTATTATTTCAAAATAAACTTAATTTTTCTTGGCACGACAACTCTATAGGCAAAGCAGCAATATAAATCTGCCTAATATTATGAGCAAATTCGGGATAAAAGTATAACGTTTAATATCCTCAAACAGTCCCTCTCTCTTTAACGTATTATATTAGTATTCTTTCTTCAAGAAAAAACGCTTCTTTGCATTTTGAGTCTTGTATCTGACATTATGGCCATTTTCAGATTTTAATTAAATTTTGTCCGACTGATCTTGCGTCACCTTCAGCACACTTATTCGCTAGGCAAATAATTTAATCCACCTTATCCAAATAATTTCCGTAGGTTATCAGATGATGTTTAATAAAACTATTGTTGTAACGTAAGTTGTTAATCTTTGACTGATAACTGAGAATCAACAAGATGTGCAGGCACACGCATGCGCAGGGGCACATTTACAGCATTTTCTTCAGGCTAAAATATTAGAAAACTGTTTCCTTATTGAAAAAATTATCAAGACGGGATTTAAAATATTGGCCATAAATTCGTCTCTCCGTTGATTTAGTGTAGTCCTATTGGGAATATTATTTTTTAAAAGGTAGATCAAGGTAACGGTCATCTCTGACAGCGGCCTTATCACCGAGGTGAAATAGTTTGCGCCATTTTCTTTTTCGTCTCAATGTCAGCCAGCGTTCTCCCGAGTGCCTCTCCTTTATAAGCGTCCCAATCCACGCTGAGCTGAAGGTTGTCCTGCATTTCATCATCGGTAGGATACGGAGCCAGCTGAAATAAATAAATAAATAAAAAGTGATTTTACCATTTTGATGATTTTATTGTTGGTACGAAATGCTTGTAATGATAAGTATTACAGTTGTTTAATATGCACTATTTATATTCGAAGATTTAAGGACAGTCGCTTTGAGTTATGTGTAAATATCGGTATCAATTTTTAAAAAATGGCTATAGAGGATGCCATTCATGTGTCATAATAGCTTACAATTTATTTATTTGTATGTTTATTTATTATTTATTACTTGAGATGCTACTATGACAGATCTTGCTATAAACATAACAATAAAACTTTCAAAACAATTAAATTACCCGTCGTCGGAGTCTTGCTATGAGTTTCTCTGGAGCATTATCCTGGTAAAACTGCTTGTTAATCATCATCACTTCAGCACCGTTACTCATCACACAGAAACTGGGCTGGTTACCCAACACGAATTGGTTAAGTCCCTGAAGAAAGTAATATTATTATAATATAATAAAACAATTTAATAAGGTGATTTTTTTTTATTAATAATTGTTAAAATTTCCATCTTAACTCAAAGGCATGCCACGCCCACTCCACGTCAACATGCAAAACGTACTTTTCTGGAATTTTAAACAATTTTCCTAAACAAGTAAGACATACCCTTGCCACATTTATCCGTGAAAAAATCTATAAAATCATTTTCGATTTCTTAAATTTCATTTTACCATAACAAGTCAAATTCAACAGTGTGCTAGATTGCCTTGACTTATAATTATAAAAATATTAGATGTTTTTCACTTATTTGACAGTTTATAAACCTACAAAAACATCTCCCCGTGAAAGCGTCTGTACATGGATGAAGGCGGGGTTCCTGTCGGCGTCTGTCATGTCTTCCTCGTCCTTCTTGTATTCAGCGTTTAAGTCGTCGTTTATCGTCCTGACCTGCTGCTGGATTTTCTTTTCGTCCTCGTCTTTATCCTCTTTTACTGAAATGGAGAAATATGGAGTTCACGTCTTTGCATGATATTGAAACGTGTCTACAAATAATATTTATTAACTGCAGGCTTTTAACTTTTAAGGGATCTAAAAGGTTTTTAAAGAGTTTTTACCCATCTGCTGTGTCTTATTTTAACAACAAAAATGGAAATTTATAATTTATTTATTTATAATTTGTAACCCGAATAGCAGTCCAATTTCCGTTTTATATGAATTTTATATTTATATATTAATGGCTGAATAAACTCTTATCTTATCTTATCTTAAAGCCTGTGGTGGAGTCAGAATTTCGCTCAGGGGGTAGGGATGTCAAGGGTATAACAGTTTTGCTTTGATTTGGGCTACAATTATTAAACGGCAGACAACTGTGCTGTAGATTTCTAAAGGTCTAGCAAACTATGGTGTAAGTATGAGGCAGTTATGTAAACACGTACAGATACCACCGACACAACACACAAATACCTTTTAATTTTGTTGGACTTTTATTGGATTTCCTTTTGGATTTTGGCTGCTGCGGAGATCCTGGATCACGTGGTGATTCCTGGTCTCGTTGTGATACGTGGTAACGTGGTGACACTTTGTCACGTGGTGATACTGTACCACGTGGCGTGTTAACGTGTGCTACTTCCTCCACTGGGTCAATATCATACGTCGTCTGCACAGTTTCTAACATTGACTTAGAACGTGTCGTGTCATTATTATTAGCATCCCCTGGTGGAGATTTTTCTGGCATGTCAGTGTGTCGTCTGACCAGACTGTCACTTTGGCCAATGTCTGGCAACGGAAAACTTTCAGTCGTTAACTGAACATCTTTTATGTTGGGATCCTGTTTTGGCATATTGCCATTTATCTTAACCGAAGATCGTCGGTATTTTGTTGGTTCCTCGGTCTCTGTAGGTTTAAGGGGTATTTTCAGTTCGGGCAAGATGTATTTGAGCAAAAAGTTCTTCTGAAGGCGGTATTCCCTCATCTCTGCTTTATTCCTCTTCTTTTTCTCTGCTTCACTTAAGTCTGAAAACACATAATAAAATTTAGTCACCCTTCAATACGTGTACATGTTCCTTTCACTCATAAACGATCATTAATAGTTTTCGAAGACTGTTTTTAAATTGTATTTCGGATGCATTAGAATTACATCCACAAAAACTTAAAGATCTTGACAAAGTTTTATAGACTAAAGTGAATCTTTTTAAACGTCTAGCATTAACTTCAAAGTAGGCAATATGGTATAACGCCACAGTACCGAAAACTAAATACATTGATGCTCATTTACCAAACGACAATACATATCAAAAAAAAAAAAAAAAAAAAAAAAAAAAACAAAGAAAAAACAAAAAAAAAAAAAAAAAAAAAAAAAAGGCCATGGTGGCAAATCCAAAGTCAAAAGGAGAAATAACATACCACATGGGTACAACAGAAAAGATATCCATAACATGGAGGAAACATAAAAAACTCAACCGAAAATAAAATATAATATACCTAACAGAAAATAACAGAAAACCAACAGCAGCAACAACAACAATATTCGAACACCGTACCGACTGGCCCATCCGGAAAGGGGAACTTAAAACCGAATCCGGACAGCGGATCATATGTCGTATCCGGTCGTCCGACTGAATAATACGATATAGAATGTGGAATAGACACATGTGGAATATGAAATATATGTGCAACTTCAAACTGAATCAAACGTACCCTTTTATATGTAAGAGGGCTGCGTGAAATGCGAGAACTTGAACAAGATCGGATCATTTACCATATATATTAACTTCCCTGACTGTGTGGTTCTTCTAAGCAAAAGACTAGCCAAACAAGGCTGCACCAGTGTTCTCTACTGGTAAAATAATCGCAGTAGGCAAATTTTCGATTCACTGATATGTTGAGTGCTGGTTTTGTGTCCTTATACATCGCCAGAAAATTTAGTTCAAAATTTTAGGTCAAAATTCGGTCTTCTTTAATTCGAGATAAAATTATAATACATGTAGCTTGTCCACTTGAGTAATGATGTGTCGGTTTAAAACTTCAGCCTTGTCCCCCTTTGTTATAAAACAAGGGCAACATGTATTTAATATCTTATTAAACTACTACTGATTTATCTGATGTCAAAGTTAACTACTAGCAGAATGTATCTTAAATTTGCAAAAAAAACAAACTATTTTTGGTTTAATTTCTTTTGTGAAACAGGCCTCTCTCAAACACAATTAATGAACTGTATGTACAGTGTTACATGTACGTGGCCGTTAATTCCAGCAAGGAGAAATAAACAAACACACTTTGTGCCCGAAATCTGTTTTCATATAATTACTTTTAAAAGATTGTAATGTTTTTGGTTTCGTTAATAAAACCGCACTTTTGAGCAACTTGACTACGCATATATCTTCTTAAATACGGCAACAAAACCTTATCACCATGGAAACCTACCTGAATATGTTCGCTTCCACTCGTAAGCGCCAACTTTTCTTAATTTCTTCAGCACGTGCAAGTGGCCCTGGAGGAAAAATTAAACGGCTTTCGTTACAAATCTTACTAAATACATGTACTGTGAAGTTAAAGTACCAAATAAGTGGTAGACCCAAAAGGATTCTATTGGCAGAGAGTGCAATGTAAACTTTCAAATTATCGGCTATATTTTTCAGTGTTCACAAATTTTACTAAATACTGTGAAGTTAAAGTACCAAATAAGTGGTAGACCCAAAAGGATTCTATTGGCAGAGAGTGCGATGTAAACTTTCAAATTATATTTTTCAGTGTTCACACAGCTCTTGAAAATGTATCTCATGTTTTTAACTCACTTTTAGAATTAATCTCTCTAACCAAAACACCCGACATTAAGTAGCAAATAGATAAGACAGACTACTACTACTAAAAGTAATAATTGTTGAAAGTATCGTAATTTTATAAACCTGGTACACATTTCACAACGCTAACACTTACTGCAGGTATTTTACATAACACTGTACTTTATAGTTTAACAACAAAACAAAAAAGTACCCGTTGAACATGTGTAAAAAGCAAACCAACTCCCCAGACTCACCGACTTGACAACCACAATCCAATTTGAATAGTTACTATCTTTTATCACGACGTCTCCTTTCCTAGAAAATAAGATTTCGAAATTACGATTATAAACAAATGCATTGTAATCGGCTTATTGTGCAGGTGAAACTGAAATACACCGTAATTGTGCTATTTTTTTACAGTTTTTGTTACGTATTTACACGCACCACTATAAATTGTTCAAACGAATGGAGCCTTAAGCATGTCGTCGAACGTAGTGCACTGGCTTTCTATATTGAAGAATAAATATAATATATATACGGTACTTACTTGAAGAAGTGATGCATCAGTTTCTTGGGATTGGACTCAAGAATTTGCACTGGCCATCCGTTAAAACAATCCAATTTCCTAAGGTCAAATATAAACCATTTTATTGAAAAATTTTCATTAATAAAAAGACTCATCACATCTTACGGTGGGTATCAATTAAGCAACTTACTGGAACAGAATATTCCACTGCAAAATTCAACATTTATAAAGGCACACCATTAGCGTTAGATCTCAATGAAGGAATAAATAATTTTCCTGGAAATTGCAATATTAAGGTAGAGCTGTAATACTGAGGTGAAGATTTTTAAACTTCTATCGTTTTTCTACTGCGCGCTCAGTATATCTTTAAAAACAAATATTGGGTTTATTATGATACATTCTATTTCAGCTGCATACTCACTCGATTAACTCTTCGTCGTCGTCTCCTCCAGTCATGAAAATCTGACGAAAATCCTAAAATACAAAATGCAGAATATTTGATTTTTATAATTTTTTATCTAAATTAAAATGAATGTATTTCGTATTTTGATTCAAATAAATGTACATGTGTTAAATATTTTGAGCATGTTACGATGAACACAATTTCAGAATTGTCATCTAACGCATAATTTTTGTTTACAGGTGTATTTTATCTGTTTCTATTTTATTTACGAACACATAAATTTACGTAAAAAGTTTTGGTGGTAGTTCACCTATAACAAGAAATTATAGCAAAAATTTCTAACCCAAAAGCAGCAGTAAGTGTTAACCGATACGACAAGCTGTATAAATATTTACAAAATGCACTAAACGTTTAAATGATAATAAATGAATCAGTCAATCACCTGTATTGAAATGCTGAGCATCTCCACGGTTTCTTTAGCTATACACGACGACTGGCGTGGTGTACGGTTGATCAGGCCCAGCTCACCGAACGCTCGACCCCTCTTTAAGATTGCCACGGGCTTTGCCACCCGTGTTTCTTGGTCCATCACGACAACAACGACTGTAGAAAACGAACATTTTTTTGTTATTTGTAACATAAAATGTGATTGTTTATTCACGTTTTCAATAAATAAATAAAAATAAATAAATAAATAACAATAATAATAATAATCAATAAAAATATCTTGATAACACTGGCTGATCCAGATTTTTTCTTAGGGCGCGGCACATATATTTTTGCATTATACCACCAAGAAGTGGGTACATGTATGTGCCCTTTGCACCCCCTCCCACCCTTAATACGGCGTTGAATAGGACGGATTCTTATGAAGGCCTTCTTAAAAAGCAGATTTCTTTTATGCAGCATATTAATATTTTTTCAAGTATGATGTTATTTCCATAAAATTGCAACTTACCCGATCCTGAGAGTAAAATATAGAACGCATTTGGTGGGTGACTTTGACGCACAATTATTCTCTTCGCTTCAAATCTAAAAAAAAAGAACGATTTATATATAAAATGTATCATCTTTATGTACACACCGTTAACATCGATCAAATCTCAATTGTTAACTATATACGTAGTTCACTTTACACTTTACATATCACAATCGGAACATTTGATCAAAGCAAAACCAATTGTTTTTCATAATAACCAAGCTTCTCTGTCGCAATCGTCTTCCCATCTCTTCCATAACTCTTTCTCAACAAGCATGCCCTGTAATCGCATATAGATTACCTGCTTTTCGGAGTTGGCGTACTTATAACCCTTTCATAAAACAACTCACCTTTCGTACATTCCCACTTCTGCAATTTTCCTCTGCATTCGAACTGTGTAGTCACTGTAAGCCTTAATATTCCGCAGAGATATCTCAACCTATCGGAAAGCAAGAGTTAAGGGGTTATTATTTGTAAATAAAGTATCTATTAGCTAACCAAAGTTCAACAGACCTTACTGCAAAACACAGACAGTTAATGGTGGGCAGTGGCAGGTGAGAGAAAAGGAGAGAGAGGTTGAGAGAAAGAATGCACGAAAGAAAGCTCGGGACGACCGAATCAAAAAGATTGATAATGATACACGTATCAAATGATTGTGATAAAATGATAATGATAAAATAATGATAGAAAACAAGGCTAGCACGTACAAAACGGGTCTAGATTCTGTGTTTTGTGTACAGAAGTAGAAACTGGAATATTGGTATTGACCTTGAACAGTAAATTATCAAATTTTATGATAGAAATTCGCCTACTGTAGCCTATATATTTCACTTTCTATGCCTTTAACATAAACACTGCCTAAATTACGTTTTTCAAATAATGTTACAAATCAATTATTGGGGTCATCTGATGTAGAATAGTTTCTCGAAGGGAAGACAGAGACAGCGTCACTCACATAATTCAGTTCCTGTTCCGTCCTTTCTCCGGATGGCTTGGTCAGGATCCTCTTGGCCTCCTCCGAGAGACGTAACTTTTAAATAAATAAATAAATAAATAAATAAATAAATAACATATAAATTACCTTCGTTGATTTTAGATCCAATTCAATACTTGGTAACAAACAATTCTTCAACGTGGAAGAAAACTAGGGGCCTATCTTCTTCTTTGGCGGAGGTAATTTTTTGTCTTTCAAATGCTTTGCTATTGTGAAGCTCTAATACACGTTGATAAAGTCGATCAAGCACTGGGATAAGTATAATACATCAAAGCGTGACTTACCTGCCTATTTGCTTTAAAGTCGTTGGGGTTGAACCCGTCCCAAATATCAACATCTAGTGCTGTTCCAAAATCTTGATAATCCGTAAACTTGAGATCCCGAATAAAGGGTAGAAGTTCATCGTGTTCTTTGTTTCTGGAAAACAAGAATAGTTTATAAAAACAATTTTGCGGTTGTTGAATCCAGGAAGTTAAAATATTAGGCGTAGATCTAAGCTTATTCTTGAAAGGTATTTATGAGTTAAATACAGTTTGAAGTAAAAGTATTTATTTTATTAAATAAATGAATATTAGTATATAAAGAAATATATTTGAAGTTGAATAAACTTGAAAATTTATTTGTTTTCAAAATTTCTACGTTTTGCTACTTTCATGTACACAAGATCTTTCCCGTTTTCTTTCTCACCTTCACTTTCCTTCCCTTCCTTTTACGAAATAAGCACTTGGCAACAAAAATAATGCTGAGATTAAATTAACTTTTTAGAGTTAAGAAATTCATTAATCAGAATCTCAATTGAAATTATTTCCGCAGTTTTATAATACAAGCCCCTATTTTCCTAGAATAGTATGAAACAAAAAGGCGGTTACCTCAAAGAATGCGCTAGAGTTTGTCGTCTGCAGAAAATGGCGAGGCGAGCTGCACGTCTGAATTTCTTCATTAATTCTTGGAGCTGAAACGCAGAAAGACGCTTGTTAGTGTCTCTCATCTCATTTATAAAGCCTTGTGCTGCAAAGATTTTCAGCGTTTCGCAATACAAGACGTGTGTGCATTTCTGATCCTAAATCATATTCTATTTTTTCTACTTCCCTTTTCACGTACTGTAATATATTTTGTTTATCTAATATATTTAACCCTAAAAACAACTCTAGTCACAACATGTGATTAATGTGTTCCAGTGGGATCGTTAAACCAAAACTTCTAAGAAATGTTGCATAAAGGATGACGATACTTGTGAGCCATTTGACAAACGGAGGAAGAAAAAACAACTGTGAACGCATGCACTTGAAAACATATTTATTCATCGTGAAATCGTTTGCTCACTTGCGTGAAATTTATGTCTTTACAAAGCCCACCGAAGCACGCCAATTCCGTGTTCGACAATACCTCCCCTTAGGAGTGGTGGGTGAACAAAATGCTCCACGCCAAATGTACTATGAACTCTTAGTTCTTGAGCTAAAGAGGGTTCCTCGTTTTTGTTACCCAGGGAAACAATATACAACACCTTGCTTTTACTGCTGGTATATTGAGTAAAGCATAGAGTGATGCTTCATTGCTTTAGACAAATGGCTGGAATTTTGTTGGAATGTCGTTTAATGTTGCCAAATAAAGTTATAACATTTATCCGATAACTTCCAACATACATGTACATGTACAGTATTAATTTGCCACGCTTGCATTGGTAGATCCACTAATTTTGTTGATTTCGAAAAGATGCCTTCTCCCTTTATTCCCCATCCCCACACACTAGATAACTTATTCCACATTTATTTTATAGGTCTCGAGATTCCTCCTGAAGCTAAGTGTTCAGACGTTGTTTCTCGTTCTTTCCTTGATGGCAACCCCCTCCTCTCTCTCTCTCTGTATTTCTTTCTCTTTCTCTCTCTCTCTCAAGTTTACTCATAACAGTAACATGAAACTTCACACCATTACCAGTGATTAATAAAGTCACTAATATCCTGTTCATATTGTTATTATTATTATCATCATTATTATTATTATTCACCCCACGCCGACACCGTCTCCTTGTCGCCCTCTGTAGGAAGAGACTGTGTCCCTCTAAGCCGTTTACATTTTCTCTCTGGCAAGAGAGGACCAAGTTCTGCGATGTTGCTCTCCTCGCAACTCCTCTCCATTTTCGCATGGCGACTGAAACAGGCAGAAAAATTACATGAGATTCCAAGCAAAATTAATTAACAGTTTTAAAAACCAATGAACAATTCTGGAAATAAAAGTGCTTCTGAAATTTAGGGAGATTCCAGCAAAATTAATTAACAGATTTAAAAACCAATGAACAATTCTGGAAATAACAGTGCTTCTGAAATTTAGGGAGATTCCAGCAAAATTAATTAACAGATTTAAAAACCAATGAACAATTCTGGAAATAACAGTGCTTCTGAAATTTAAGGAGATTCCAAGCAAGATTAATTAACAGCTTTAAAAACCAATGAACAATTCTGCACATAAAAGTGCTTCTGAAATTTAGGCAGTTCATGAGTTTATCAGCCACCTTTCAATGTTGGTAATATTTTTTAATATACGTACCGAAATTTTCTTCAATATCTCAAAATTTAGATTACATTGATAACCAAGGAATATAATTAGAGAAATCTGTTTACTTATCGATTTAACTCTAAAAGTCACTTTTTCAAAGTATTGTTTTATGCCATAAAAAGTACAAGCCGTGAAAAATGAGAACACTCGTTGCCTGCAGCGCGGTACTTTGTTGCCATGGTGAATCATAATAAAACGGCAGTTAATTTGAGGACAACAGACCCAAAGGGAGGCACATATTTGATATTTCTATATACATGTATTATCTAAAGACACCCAAAGACAATATAATCCATATATGTCTATGTATAGGTAAACAGATACTGTATACGATGAACATAATTAAATATGAGAAAGAGATAGAGAGAGAGGCATTACGTATTACGATAAACTGTAAGTACAAAAGAACTCGATTTTTCCTACAAGAGTGAAAAACGTACCTCACGCACTACGTCTAGACAAATGACACGTGTGTGAACTTTGTGCACATTTGGGTAACGTTGCTCACCAATACTAAGTCTAAATAACTCCCCAAAATGTTGTAATACGTACCTGATTTCTAATCAGTTTCTCGAGAATGTTTTCCCCTCTAATTCTTCATCTCTGGTTCAGGAAAGCAGCATATGTGATGGAAGTAATCTGAATACCGTGCTCTCTTTTTGGATAAACCCTTCTGATGACAGAATATGAAAAATGGGACAGTCCGCGTCTCGTAAAAATGTGGCTCACGGCACAGTAAACGCGGACGTGTTTTACGAGCAGCAAGGGCGAGGCAGATGTTTCTGGAGATTTAGTGGTCCTTCAGATGGTCGATGTCAGTCGCGGCTTTTTAAAGTGGTTGCACATTTTCCTCAACATATTGTAACCGACAGACCGCAAATTAGCAACGCACCGAGAGAAGCACTAAAGCAAGTCAATAGACAAAAATTGATTCACTAATACAATAAATAAACATGGATGTAAGAAAATAATAATCAGATTTACATAAGCTGCTCACACTAACAACAAAAATATAAAACATAATTTTAATCAAATTCTAATCCGTTTTGAGTAGGCAGCAAATCATCCACTAAGACGCAGACACGCACTCGTACTGAACAAGCATTCGCGCACGCTCATACACATTCATCACGAGCACACACACGCAAGCAAACACACACATACACGTACACACGCATAAGAAGTTAAAAAAAAGTGCACAGAAAACAACAATCGCGCTCTCAAATGCACCGAGTCATGTACCCAATTTTACCACACTTGTCATACAAGCAACAGTCGTGCCTGCGCATTATGTAACGTGTTCCAGAACAGTAACTTCCCCCCCCTCCCCCCCGACACGCACTTCAACTATCTAATCAAAACACAGTCACCACGGCAATCTTTTCAAAACACTTAAACGTAAAAGAAATTCAAAGTCATGTCACACAGAGTGAAAAACAATCAAGCAACATGTAAATCATCTTTTGATAGATGGGACACAAAAACCACCAAACCGCAAACAAAATGTAATTCATTCTTGGAGTATTTCTTTCTTACCCGTTGTTTTTCCTTCAGCGTTTGCACGAACTTGATAAAAAATAATCAAGTATAAGATTCATTTTATTATAATTTTTTTAATAATTTTATATTGAAACCATTAAGGATGCGGCACCAGCTTTTGAAAAAAAAAACACACTTCCACCTCTTTCCTCAGTTTTTCTCCTTAAATTTTACTGATCAATACACCATAAGTATACTAAATAATTTTGATTAATAATTATCATTTGGTCAGATAAATAACTAATATATCTGAATGTTGTATTGATCGCTCAAGGCTTCTTAGTGTAATTACACAACTATAAATTTTAAGGTAGGTGGTTAAACTACAGTACAAACAGCACTAAAGGCTGAAGTCCCTTACACTTGGTACATATGCACTGGTAGAAGACAACACCAAACTTACGCTGTCACGTTTCAAAGAGTGGGTCAAGTCGCGTACAAACTAAATAAATGTTTGGATAAATAAGAAAGTAAATAACCTCTAATTAATGCAGTCACGTTTACAAAAAGTGGCACGTTGCTCACCAAGTGTACACATTAAAATACATATATAACAATGATGATTATAATACAACGTTCAATTTGATACCTGATTTTTAAATGAAGTTTTTATTGGTAAACAAGTCAGGCTATATCTTACTTCAAAGTGTTCTGTAAGATGAAATAAAAACCTTACGAGCGGGTTCGGGAATTCTTTCTTAATAAAGAAAGGGAAGAGTATCAAACCAATCCTGTGTGACGTTCGGATATACAATAAGCGGTACACAATCGTACACTCTGTACACACAGTTTCCTTGGTCCTATAATGTAGCACAAGAGTAAAGATGAACAGTTGCAAGAGGAGCATGTTTCTTCCTTGGAAGCCCTTCCCAAAATCTCTGACTAAAGATGAATGAAGTTGCTGCTGCGCACTGACCCCGTTTCACCAAAAAATGATTAGTTGTGACAATTCAGATAATCGGATAAACAAAATCTGTCAAAAGTAGCCAGTTAATTGTGTTTCACGAAGAGCTTAAATTCTTCATCTAAAAATGTTTCAGAGACTTTCGACAGATTTCTCAACTCATGCATCGGAGAAACGCTTCTAAAAAGGTAAAAAAAAAACGATGACAGCTCATGGCGATTCTTCGTTTGTTCAAAATCAGAAAACGAAACAGGAACATATATAAAATATATTTTCAACATCATGAGACAGTTAAACTTTGGCCATGGTGCGATTCAGTTCTAGATCGAAGTACAGAAACGATAAAATAACAGCTCATCTTGGTACGTCCCAAAGAGACATCTTGCGGTCAAAAACTGTAAACGAGCGTAGCAGTGACACGCTTAGCTTCCTAATAATTTTCACAAAATGTTCACCAACACAGAATGGGATCATAGCAGAATATTTTCGTAAAGGTGATGTATTCAGAGAGTTGCGTTGAACCTGCTCTCAATTACTTCATTAAAGTGTCTGAATCTAAATTAGGCGGCTTCATTGCATTTTTTTTTGGTGAGAACTATTATACATGTATCTATTCGCAACAAAAAGTTGGATGTAACAGTAATAATACTTTTAAAAATCCTCACTGTTAAAAGAGCTACAATATATTGTAGGCTTCTATCAGTGCGCTAGTGGCGCCTGTCTCACCAACCACAATTACGGTGCAAACATTTGCAGTCTTTGGAATTAAAACGGGCACATTCAGTGAGGAATAGTTTTTTAAGCTACGTGTACTTTTGTTATTGAATTGTCGACTACTGTTTCCGGTATCTCTGGGGGTTCTGTGCTCTCCTTGGTGTGGAGAACGATTGAGGATGAAGATGGCCATATACAGAACCTCCCGTTTGCGTTGATTGTTTATCGAGAAAATCAGGTTTTAAAACCAAACATAGCATTTACTTTGTTATACGTCATAGGTGAAACCTGAGGGGGGGGGGGGGGGGATGGGGGGGGGGTAGATAATTGGGCCCTGCTTTCATATTCACCACCGTACAAATAAATGAGACTGAGTATTACGAGAAGCAGTTCCATATGATCTGTAAATCCTGTTCATAACAGAATTCAGGGCCGTAGCCTCCGGGGGGGCAGGGGGGGCAGCTGCCCCCCCTGGGATTTAGAATTTTCCACACTGGTAGGGGGACACCCCCTCCCCCTTCGGGGGCTTCGCCCCCTCGTGTCCGCTTACTGCCCCCCCTGGCATTTTGCTCAGGCTACGGCCCTGGAATTACATGTACATGTATATGAGTATTGGTACACTTTCACTTACATTACGATAACGATAAATACATAAAAGAAAATAAAAACGTGAATAAAGAAAAACCAACTACAATGACTAAAACGCGCACCAATAAAGGACCTACGTGTATAGTATAACTAATATCCAGTAGTTAATCCGATGAATCTACACAATAAATAAACACTGTAAGCCTACCCTCTACCATAGGTCACAAGATATGGAATGTATTCAGCCAATGAATAGCCAAAAAAAATATCCGTTATTATCTTTTGGAAAAAATCTCTCTGTGGACGTGGTAGAGGCTACTTAACAAGGGTCATAAAACAATCCATCTATAGGCCAACTCAGTTTTGATAATCCGATACAACAGAAAGCGATGTCGACAACACCTATATTTACACAATCCTTACCCTCCGGGCAGAGCGGGCCTTCGCTTTAATCGTTTCTACAAACTGCAACGGATTAAACTTTTTTTAAAAAATTAGAAAATAAATACTGTCCAAATGGAAACACGAATATAAATGCAAACACGTATGGTTGTGCGTTGTGTTGCTTGAATGTCGAACATGGGTTTTACATTAGCTGAAAGCTGTGTTCTATTTCCTAACCCCAATTTCGGCACAAAAATCACTTTACATATATCGAATAATGTAATAAAAAGATCATACCTTGTCATATAACTGAAATTTTGTTTTACACTTGAACTAACATATATATATGTGCACGTCTGTTAATTGTGACAATCATATAAAAAGATCTAGAGAGGTCAATTCGACCTTATTATCAGTCTCTTTGGAAAGGATTCGGTAGTTCAAATAACAACATAAGACTAAATATTTACACTACCGCATTACGTTAACCGAATACCCTTGTCAATCTTTTACAATGTGACTCGATTATTCAGAAAAAAGGACAAGTGCAACGTAATATTCTTTTCTCTATGTATTTATGCCAATAACTCTTCAGGTGTAAAAAGACAAAAACCTACTCTGTTGCTATTGACTGAAGTATTTCTCTTTAGAAGCACTCTATGAATTTGCTTCAATACTTTTCACGCTGTTTTGGGAAGTTGCAGGTGTCGCAATGTTTCTATTGACACACCTTCTTATAATTATGTCTATATTTTTCAACCGTATCTATTATTAATGGTGTGTGTATATGGTTTAATGTATATGCAGAAGAGATAGAGACAGGTTAGTGTCAAATTTCTGTCAATAATTCAAGATTTTCTCTTCCTTTTATTTTTTCCGTTTTTATTTGCAAGCATGTTATCATTTATTTCACTGATATTATTATTTTTACCATTAAACCGGATTCTTTGATTATTGGCTTTTTCTAATTACACATTAAATGACCTGCTCTTACTGTTTTCTAACGGGCTACATCGTTCTACATTGACATATGGAATTATCAACTCTAGCCTTAGGCCCGTAGCCCGGGGGGGGGGAGGTTATTGATAGAAACCTCATTTTTAACCCCAGGAGAATGTGGCTCGTTTCAGTACATCTATTAGTTCACAGATTACGTCTCAGCATCTTAAATAGTTCGACTAGTTAATACTACTCTTTTAAATGCAACATAATTTACGTTGTAATTGGCGTCATCAGTTTTCACCTATTTCTCTCGTTTGATATTTTTGCATCTTTTTTTCATCAGATCGATGTACCTGAAATATGTGCCCCAAAGAGGTTGTTGTACAGGTGAATGTGGCAAAATATTTGTTATGCTATTCCGGATCCACTATTTTCTATTTAAAATACAGTCGTTTAATATAATCTATTTGAAGCAATGTCATTAACAACTAGAAATGAAACCAGCATCAGATGGCGTATGCCGTTTTGCGGGGGCGAAGAAAAATCACAAAAAATTGCTGTAATTCACTGTTTTGCTATAAACTACTCACCTTTAACTGTCTGCTGAAACTTTTGATGGACTTATTGGACGCCTTCCTGGGTCCCATGTCCTCTGTGCCGCTCGCAGGCAGAGTGGGATCCGACGTCCCTCGGTTTCTCTCTCGCAGCGACCGGCGACGTCCGAATGCCGAGGCGTCCATCAATGGGAGACCGAGACGTGACTTATCCGTGGACTGCTTCCGCGATCCTCTAAGCACGGATTTGCTGATATCAGCAAACGCCGTGTCCATGCTCATACCCCTGTGATGCCGCCCCTGGGTCGACCCTCTGCGGTCGCTTACAACCCCCACAGAAGGCACCCCCAGGCTCTGCGGGGCGTGGGAGTACCGCCGAGAGTTTGAGGCCGCTGACGCTTTGGCTAGTGTACCGTACAAGCTGTTGATGCGCTGTCGCCCTGGTGATTTGTCTCCTCCCGACGTCGTTGCCATGGTTTCAAACGTTCTGACGTGAAAGCGCGGTGTGTGTATTTTTGGGGGAGGCTGATTAAGTAGCATACTCTAGGCTGATTGAACGTAACGCATGTATTGCAATGCGATCTGCGAAAAATGAAGTTACTATTCACTTTAAGTATATCTAAAAATTCATCAAAGCAGGAGACTCCTTTTTCATTTATCCTTAGATATGAGAAGTTGTATATCCGCGGTGGTTTTCATTCATAAGTTTACGTAAACTTTCCAAATGGATAGCTATCTCTTGTTAACATACGATGATCCACATCGATTGTATTAATTTTTCTGCGTTAAATTGTCGTTCCTTGCCTCTTCTTTGAATTATCGTAAGTCGGACATGATTTTAGATTCGGACGTGATGGGCGTTTCTTGATAAAAACGTTAGGAAATTCGCCTAAATACGTAACCAAGTTACTCGGTGACAGTTCCAGAAAAGTCTCCGTCGTGAAGATGCTACACGTCGTTGTCTTCTGCGTATTATCTCTGTCGTTAGGGAGTGGAAGGAATGGTTTACGTAACGGCGTGGATGAAGACACTGAAATCCTACGTCCTTCTATCAGCTCTTCTCGATTCCCCTGATAAACGTTTCAATGCCTGTAAGGTAAACAAACAATCGGAATGAAAGCCATTTTCAACTGGATGATAAAATTCCATCTTGACGGTGTAACTGATGGAATCTTAATTCGCTCTTAATCGTTTAAAATTGAAGGACATATTACTTTAATGAGAATGGGTTAAATTGATTTTGAAGACTTCCTAGGCAACAATCACAAGCTTAGAATACCCGTGCGCTAAGATTAGAGCACCAGCACTATTATCTAACCACATTAATCGTGATCAAGACTTGTAAGGCAAAGATCACTTTGACAATAATTACAAAGCGCAATATTACAACAGCCCTAGAAATTCATGTCGATGCCTTTAACCATATATAATCTGTGTTAAAACCTAAAAATATACCGACCATTTCTGCCTAAGAAGACCAACAATCTACTGCTTTAAAGCAAAGATGGTGGCCAGTTACTGCACAAATTCACAACATTTTATTGGTTCGAATTTTTAAAATTTTGCTGATACATGTAGTAGACTGCATAACTCTTTCGAAAGTTTTAGTGCAGGCTGATTGAACATTGACTGAAAAGGACCAATGTTCAATACAAGATCAATATCAAAACTGCCTAACGGTAAGTGCTAAGATTTCAATACTGGATTTGATTACCTAAGCATACCTGCTATGATCAATAATTGAATAACGATAATTAATGCAGCAACATTATCAAACAACAATAATATCAGGTATATGAAATAAGAATACCATATATTCATTACACTGGTCATTTAGAATACACGAAATACACACAAGGCGCACGACACGCTGATTTGAATGGTATGAAGACTAACTAATGCAATAAATACAAAGGGCATTAGTAGATCCTTCACCCCATGCGAAAAAATTCACCTCTCAAGTTGATAGCATAACCTTACGCTTTGTTACAGATGCATTAATAATAATAACCGAAGAAAATTTTTTGATAACCTTCAACCTCTGCGTTTGTGTCTGTAAATGTGTCACCGCAATGTAATAAGAATAAATAAAAGGATAAATAAATGTATAAGGAATATTTTTCCTGTATTATAATTGATTGTGTTGTCAAAGCAAGTTATATTAGATGTTGCCTTCATTGAATATGAATTTGCTTGTATGTATGCACTAGAGTTATAAATACAAAATACTTCCAGGTTTTTCAATCAAAGTGATTTTAAGAGAAGTCTGTTTTTCAGTATGTATGAAATGCAACATTGTTTTTTCGTTTAGTATATGGATTTTACATATAAAGGATATATCGAATGATTACATGTATTTCTATTATAGAGTAGCTGACATAGTATTTCGCATACTATCTAAAAACATTTTTCTCTGTTAATTGAAAAATTTTATTCAGCTTCCACTCGCATTTATAATTGTCTTCGAGACTTATTTTAGTATTAACGTCAAGGTGGTTTAATATATATTTTTTAATTTCTTTATTATTGAGAATAGAATTTATCACCAAAAAAGTCACAAAATCTTATTTAGCGTTTTCTATACATCTAGGCTTCACTACCCCATTTAGCCCTTACATCCGTTCTTTTAAGTAAACATACTATTTGGAGTAACTGAAAATATCACCATAAAACCCTACCTGTATCCCAGAATTTCTCGTTAGGGCACCGCTTCGTTGATATCCATATCCTAGACAGTACATAAACTTCAATTCCACCTCTCTAAGCAGCCAGATACTAATATATTACTAAACATCAACACCACGTTAGCGACCAAGGCAAATCAACACTTCACCAATTACGTATTTGATCAAGTGGAGGGTTTGACTTCATGTCAGTCTTCACATCTCTCGGCTTAAAACGGCCGCATGTCCTTAGCCTCTTCAGCAGATGGCAGATGATTGACTTCTGTAAAAGTCCCCTTTCTGCGTCCAGACGACTTCTTTCATGCTGACGACGTACTCCTTTCCATATCTGGTTTAATTGCTAACTAATCAGCCGTGTCTTTATATACTTATCAAGAACCGCTAAAGGCTGCTTTTCTACGGCGGATCTCTGTCGAATGGAAATATATATGTCTGAATGTGGATAAAAAGGGTATTAAAAAACTCCGTTTACATTAAATGATAGTCGAGATTGTCTTGGTATAAAAGGATCATTTCAATTGAAAAACTTCCTAAGTATAATAATTATTTTCAGTAAGTATTTTTTGTGATTATATAACCTATTTCTTATTGCTCATTTACCAGCTTAATCCTGAAACAAAGAAACACTCAGCAAGCTTTGGAATGTTGTGTTTATATCCATAAAAACCTCTAAGCTCTCATCCATAATATTCCACGTTCCGTCTCAGCGGCCGCACTCACATTTCACGTGTAAATGCTCCTATTTCACAAACTGTAACAGCACTCGTCATAACCCTGTCCTCTGCGACAAGAGGCTCTCTCTCTCTCCTCCCATTGCCTTTTGGTTAAACATTTGCCATTCTTATGTCCTCTGTGTCAGGTGTTTAATTGTTTGCACAGCGCAGCCAAACCCTACAGTACACGAGACACTCAGCGGTGTCGATAAAATGACTTCTCAAGGCATTACTTAATGATTGCATTTATAAATCACACTCTCTGACGCTGTCACAACACCGTTGTATTGTTACAACTATTAAAGGCCTGAATGATTGGTGCTTATTTCATTCCTCGTCGACTTTTTTTTATAAATGGATTGCAGACAGATTTCATTTAAAACTTGCCCACGCTTCGCTTGAAAGCCAATTAATGTAATCGGTATCGTGGTTTTCAGACTGTTATATTAGCCCTAATCTTGTTTTAATGAAGACAAATACAACGGCAATGTGTTCTTGTCGGTAAATACGAGAAAGAGAGGGACAAAGAGAGAGAGAGAGAGAGGGAGAGAGAGAGGTTGGAGGAGTGTGAAGTATTTAGAGCATTTTTTTTTCTATTTTTAGGTTGGACTGAAGATAAAAACAAGCGTCGTTAAGGGATACCCCATGCCTCCGAACATTAAATCAAAAAGCCAGTGTCGCGGCGAACTTTGAAAATAGTTTAGTTGAATAGCAAAATGTTCTTTTCTTTATACTCATATCGTACGCATATCTTCTTTTATTGGATTTACCTTTTCAAAAGGAACAAACCATTTTTAGTGTGACTGGAGATGTGTCTATGTTTCATCTTATATGTACAGGGAATAAACACTACATTTAGTCTAAACAGAAAAATATGAACATAAAAAGTTAGCTTGCTTTTGCCTTTATCTTCAAATACCAATTCTATTACAAAATGATACGAGAACAAAGCTGTGACAACTGCATCAAAATGACGCAGACTATTAACCATTGCTCATTTCCAATTTCATGCAATTTCATGGTTAGCGTTTGAGGCAATGTTTGCCAATGGATGAATAGTGCAACGGCAAACATTTACATTCAGAGAGCATAATGTATTATTAAATATATAAATATATGTGTATATTTCTGCAACGTAGAGGATAAATGGATCACGTTCGCGCCTATCGCACCTGAGACGCATGTTCCGGACGTTAAGCCGGGAGACAAATTTAACGTGTATTCAAGCGTGTTGTACGGCAGCGATGATTGACCGGTCAGTGTAAACATGACGCGGCCGATAAAAGGCAGGGAGGGGGGATAGCGACAAGGACATCTGGACCATAAACCTGGGCGGTGATTTATAGATCCTTACGATGTGGCTGTTTATGAGATACGGTGAATAGTCGGGGACAGCTCTGAAAGGAAACTGTGGCCTGAAGGGTGGACAGCAAGGGACCATTCTTCAGTTCTCTGTCTTGTTTCTGTAATCAATTTACAAAAAGAATGGTTCGGGATAGTTACGGGCAGGTCTATAGGCTACTGCATGGTATTTGACACAGTAAACGAAGATTACCCTCTGATATTAGGGGCTTCTAAAACAGTATACAAATTGAAAATACGAAGAAGACCACATTAGAGAAGGGCTAACTTATGTGCCCTTATTTCTTCTCAGACACCTGCTTGAGAAAGATAATAAAGGTTAGACGATTCTGCCAATTTAGAAATGAGGAAATTCCTCTAGTTGGTTGAGCTAATGTGGATTATGAAAAGATGTAGGGTGCAGTGTCTCTTGTTTACATGTACCACCTCCCCACCCTAATGCCCCAACAAGGAGGGTGGGGGTGAACGTTAAATATGCTATATTTGTACCAAGTCATACAGTCTCTTCCTAGAAAGCACGCCGAACGAATGTTTTGTGCAGTGTTTAGAATAAACGTAAAGATGGCATAATTTTTTTACTACTACATTCATCACACTTTGACAAAAATGCATCTGAAGTAGACTTTGCTAATAACTGACCGATGTGGACCGACTATTTTTGTCTGTAATATGCGAAGTCTATTAAACGCGTATAGAGCAGTAAATTGTAATTTCAAAAGAGATTGATAGATACAGTTAATGTGATATCATTATAAGCGAGGTCTCTGTATTCGTTTTCCAGATGTCACTTTTCAAATAAAAACATCATTTGTATATGTTTACTTTTTTATTATATTTGGTTGATTAATGGTGACCGTAAGGAATCCCACCTGTACCAGCACGTGCACGTTCCTTTTG